GCCCCGAAGCACTACCAGAAAGCTGTCTAGAAGCTCGCAGTACATGAGAACCTTTTGGGAGAGTAATAACTTCTTCTTCTCTAGGCTTTTAGAGGGGGAGGTCACAATATCAGGGGGGCTGGGTACAGACAGAGAAAAAGTAGAGTCTCATCTGAGCATTCAGTTCTGAGTGTCATATTCCAAAGTACTATCAGGTACACCCAACCTATAGATATCCATGAATGCAGCCCCTTCTGACTTGTCTGGGAGGCTCCAGGCAGCAGCAGATGGAGACAGATGCTAGGGCTTGCAGCCAAGACTGGGGAGGAACTCGGGGAGTCCTGTGGAAGTATTGGGGGAAGATGGAAGGACATGGAGGGGACAGGAGCCTCACAGGAAGACTAACAGAGATGACTGAGACATCAACTAAGGCACATGTATGTTCTGGCCCTATGCCCTCTGCACACATGTAGCTGACAGATGACCTGGTGTCCATACGGAGCACCTAGCAAGTGGGGGGGGAGGGCTGTTTCTACCATGGACTCTATTACCTGCTTTTGGATCACTTCCCCCTGGCAGCGCTACCTAGCCTGGACTCAGGGGATGAGGATATGCTCAGTCCTGATGTGACTTGATGTGGTGGAGAAGGTTAATACAGGGGGTGGGGGAGTCCCCTTTTCTGGGGAGAAAGGGAGAGTGGGAGAGGGAAGTGAGGGGGAGTGGGAGGAGTGGAGGGAGGGGGCAGCCTCAGGATGTAAAGTAAATCAATATATACAAAACCCCACAAAATCATAAACTTTCTTGAAACATCATCTTTTGTGCATGTTTTCTTGTGTGTGGGTATGGGCACAGGAGTTGAGCACAGTCCATAAGCACATGCATATAGAGCTGGAGGTCAGTGCAGGGCTCTTCCTCAATCACTTTTCCACTTTAATTTTGAGACTGTCTCTCTCAATGAACCTGAAGGTCATTGATTCTGCTAGCCGATTTGGCCAGCGAGCCCCAAGGATCCGCACATCTCTCTCTGCCTCCCCAGTATGTCCAGCTTTTTTTTTTTTTTTTTTTTAAATATGGATTCAAGAATCCAGTTAGGTCCTCACGCAAGGATGTCACGCACTTTACCAACAGAGCCATCTTCCATGATCTTTGATAACTTGATTGCACGAACTTTGTATGTAAGAGCATTGTTTGCCACGTCAAAGGGCTGGACATCCCTGCGTGAATCTAAAAGACTGAATTTGGCTTTGGAGTACCCCAAGATGTAAAGCTCTCTTAGATGCCAGGACAGTAAAAGATCAACATAATCGTATCATTTGACCTGTGAGATCTAACTTGCTATGCTTGCTCTAAAGTTAACAATGTCCTGTGACTTTCTGTGCCACCAAGAACTGGGCTGCTGTCCATAAGTCAAAGGGTAAATGTGATCTAAGTTTTTCTCCTTTCATTTTCTGTAAGACATTTGTAAAAAGGCCAGGCCAGGTTGGTCAGTCCTCTCGAGTAACTCTGCTGGGACTGTATAGTCATCTGCATTGGAGAGTGAAACCAAAAGCAAACCAACCAAGGACACAAAGAAGATTTTCACCAGAAGAAGAAGCCAGTGGTAAATCTCAGAAATTTATTTACAGGTCAGTGAGTCTACAGAGTAGAAACAGAGTACACTAACCCATCTCCACTGTGGGGTTAATGCTCAGAATATGCACTAAATTCCTGAAACCCAACAACAAAAGCAACCATAAAAAAATCCTGCAGTCTCCTGTGCAACCCAACGGACACCAACATTCATACCGTTTCTGAGACACATGTCATCAGATGCTTTAAGTTCCTGCTGCTCCAATTCCCCACCATGATGGACTCAACTTTGAACTGTGAGCTAAGATAAACACTATTTCTCTTTGGTTTTGTGGGAGTATTTTACCATAGCAAAGAAAACAACAGCAACAAAACAAGAAAGCAAATCTCACATCCTGCTTCCCAGAGTTCAGTCTCCCTACTACTTGCTGCAGCTTCTCTTGCAGCGTCCTCAGAATAATGTATCTATGTTCTACACCCTGCATTGTCCTCTGCACAAATGGATGACTGGCTAGAGCCAAATCTTGTTGTGCTCAAAGATGAGGTCAAAGATACCCCCCCCCAAAAAAAAACCCACATAAAAAAACAAAAAAATGTATTTCCCCAAATTGAGCCATTTATTTCTTGATGACCCAAGGAGGGAAGAAGAATAAAAGATTAGCATTGTAACTAATGAAGCCAAGAGGCGGCAAATGCTGGCTAATCAACGCGGAAGGAAACTCTAGCCAAAAGCTGCCAGGCCGTCCTCTACAGTGTCCAGCCCCACCTGGTAGAAAACATCTCACAGGGAGTTCCACAGGTTCTTAGAGCAGCTCGGCTTGGCACAGTTGCTCTGGGTAGTGCTCATCTTGCACTATTTTGGACAGTGGACACGAGAGCCAAAGAAAGAGGAGTTGTTCTTACACCGGGGCACTGGGTGTCTGGGACTGGGCTGCGCAGAAGGCCTGCTGTGGGGCCAGTGGGTAGCAGGCCACCACAGACTCTTCAAGGTAGCCACGACCTTTTCTACCCCATAAGCTACCCGGCAGTCACTGAGTGTGGTGCGCACATGTGTGGCCTGGTGCTGCTCCTGTGGTGATTATTTATCTCAGGGTGGGCTCTGGCCTGTGGAAACATTTGCGCTTATAGATAAAAGAGAAGCAGCTCATTCAGAGCTCCTCTCCGTTCTGATTCCATGCTGAGATTTAGGGCTGACCTTTAGGGCGGTGGTTGGAAGGAGGACCTGGAGACACCAGGTTGTAACGTCCATCCAATTCTCTAAACCTACCTTAGTTATTTTTCTGCTACTGTAACAAAATGCACCAATAAATATAACCTAGTAAGAAAGAGGTGTTTTGGTTTATTTTTGTTGTTGTTGTTGTTTTCCCCTCATAGTTGGCGATTACAGTCAATCATTTGAAGTGAATCACAGCATCTGGAGCCTGGAGCAGGTGGTCACACCCGCACTTTGTAATCAAGAAGCAGAGCAGTAAATGCTTGTGCTCAGCTCACTTTCTCCCTTTTAATCCATCAAGTGCAGGACTCTAGCCCCAGACAGTGACACCACCCCCAGTGATCTGGTCTTCTCACCTGCAATAATACTCGAGGTGGAGGGAAGGGAAGGCCGAAGCAGTCACTGACAGGCAGGCAGGAAGTTCTCTGAGAATGTGGTGCTCTCACAAAGCGACAGGGGCACTGCGCAGAGGAGGATGGCCTGCCGACTACAGGGAGAGTCCTGACCTGCAGGGCTGCTCAGAGGCTGCACCTCCCACTGCTGCTTGTTCTTCAACCAGATGGCTTCTTTCCACATAAATTTTATTTATTTAAATTTATGTATGTGAATGCTTTGCCTGATTGCATAGCTGCTATCCACAGAGATCAGAAGAAGGCATTGGGTTGACTCCCATCAACCTGGAGTTATAGATGTGTAAACCTCCATATAGGTTCTGGAAGCTGAACCCAGGTCCTCTGCAGGAACAGCGCATGCTCTTCATCACCGAGCCATCTCTCCAGCTCCAACACCTTGGTCTGTTTCTACCATCTGGATTGTACTCTTGTTCCCACTGCAAGACTGCTGGACTCTCCCGCTCTATCCAGTTCACACCTCACCTTCTGCAGACAACTCCTGGCTGTACAAACATGTATGACCTCTCTGGTTTTTAATCTGCTACATCACAAAGTATCTAAACCCTCAGACAGACCCTTCCACAGTTTCTAAGGCTTCTTGCATTATTTACCTTGTACACAAAACTTAACTCTTCAGCATGCTACTGAGGTCTTTGTGATCCCAGAAATAAAATTTAACTTTTTTTTTTAATGCCCATAAAGAAGGGTGAAAGCCACTGATGAGCCAAGGCACAGAGGGAAGTGAAAGGGCCTTCTGCCCGGGAAGTGGCCTCTTTGAAGAGGATTCTGCTTTATGCCATGGTCAGGTGGGTTCCGGTAGTTCCCACCCACCAAGCTGTGCTCCACCAGAGTGCCTGTGTTCTTGCAGTGCTGCACTCTATGGGTCTATTTTAAGACAGAAGCATTACTTGTAGGAGAATGTAATCTATTCTTAGCTTAAAGAGGTCAGAGCACTTGTGAGAAAAGATGAGGGAGACAGCCCTGTCCACTTAACTTTATATGAGTCTAGATGGGTGTGAAGTAATCTCAGGAAGAGTAGCTCATAACCTCACTTGAGCCATAGGAACAGCTGGAGAAAGGCTGTGATCCACAGCCATTCAGCTCTTCATGACAGCCTGGCCAGAGAAAGCCAGTCTCCTCATGCCACATCTGTATATGTTCCCTCCAAACTATGTGGCCTCACCTTGCAGAGTTTAGTCATAAACAAAAGTCTGTCAGTCCTCCCTGGATTCCAAAAGGAAGAGAAACCACACAAATACTAACATATAGCAAACACCAGTCTAGGCACAACTGGGCAAGATTAGTATTAAAACCATCACTCCAACTGAGGACAGTGAGATCAAGAGGTAGTCTAAGGCAGAACCTAACAGACACAAAAGCTGACAGAGGTTTCCAGAATGAGGATGGACAAACCATTTCCTTCTCAGGGTCTGTTTCTTAGTAGGAAAAATAGATGCCTAATTTGGCCCTGGTAGTATATGGTTTAATCCCTGTAACTGGGAAGCTGAGGCAGGACGATTTCAAATTTGAAGCCTGTCTCGGCCACAGAACAAGACATCACTTTAGGAAAATGATGCTATGGAGGTCTGTGATAGGCGTAGGGATATCAGTGTTTTGACATGGCAGATGCTCCCTTGGCAACTGTCACCTGTATTGTAAAACAGTTGGCATCTCTGGCTTGGGGTCAACAGTGACTCCAGTTGTAACAGCCCCAAATACCCGTGCACCGCTTTAATTCTTCTGACTGGAATCACTGGGAAGCCATCCAGGCCTTTGCTGGCCCCCAGATGCCAACAGGAATATAGTGATGAGCAGCAGGTGGAGCAAAAGCCGGGGCGCAGGCCTACCCGTAGATGTCCAGGACCCCAATGAAGGAGTGCTGCTTGAGGGAGGTGTGCAGGGCCTTGTTGATGTGGTCCACGATCCAGGAGAACAGCTGCGCATAGATGTGCTTGGCCAGGGCATCACGTGCGTTCACCACCTGCTGCAGGGACATGGTCTTGACGTAGGTCTCTGAGGTGGTGACCAGCTTGCGATGGCACAGCCAGTGCTCCATCTGACTGTGTTCTATTCCTAGCAGGCGGCAGAAGTCGCTCAAGTGCTCATCCTCGGGCTGAGGAAAGGAAGGCAGGATCAGGAGGGGAGTGGGAGAGAGATGGGCTCCTTTGCACATTTTCCCTCCCTCCCAGCACCCACAGAACCCCTTCTCCACCCTACCAGTTTGTTCCCCCACACCCCACACTCAGAGGGCAGAGCCTGAGCAGTGTGGCTTAAACTGATCATCACATCTGCCAATGGCCAAATTACAAAGCCTTAATAACGTAAAGTGCTGTGCACTGCTCTTGTGCCCTTCCTGAACTGCCAGGTAACTGGTATGATGGGACAGCACGGGTGAAGGGCAGGGCAGCCTGCAGACAGACAGCTGAGGAATGCAGAAACAGCCCAGAGTCAGGAGCCAGAAAGCAGCAGGTGCAATCTGAGCACGCAGTACGAGTCTGCAGAGGTTACACACATCACTCACTCAACTCCAGAAAACAGTTCTGTCTCCCGCTCAAAGCCCTTCCACACAAGCTCTGGGTCTGCCTAGCATTCTGCCCTCTCCTGTCCTCAGCCTCAGCTCCCCTTCTTTCACAGGGAGCAGATTGGTGACTGTCTTAAAGGTAGGCAGGACATGGAAGCATCCTGGGGTTTTACACCCCAGTCCTCTAAATCATGTGTTCAGATGTGCTGGTAAGAAACAAGCCCACACCCAGTGGACAGCTTCTCTCTGCAGCAATGGCATGCAAACAGGCCCCGTTTACATGACGGAGCACCAGCTTCCCAGCTGCCACAAAGGGCTGCCTTGAGTCTTAACCTGTGTTCACCAGTCACACCACTGGCTTTTTACTAGAAAATCAAAGTCCCCAGAGAGTTGTGCCTCACTTCATTCAAGCACCTGAGTCTCGTGGCAAATCCCTGCTGCCCATTCAGGGAACCCACAGAAAACCCGTTATCCTTGTGGTTATTCAACCCTTATCTTGCTGTGCTTGGCAAGGTGGCGAAGCCAGCTTATTAACTCTGAGACTAGAAGAGAATCTTTTCGATTCAGGACACGGGATGTTACCTCCTAATGGCTCTAGATTGCTTATGGGTCTCAATTTCTGATGAGGCCACTTGTAGGATTTAAACGAGGGCTAATTTTAAAAAAAATTAACATAGAAAATGTTATCATTTCCCCCTTTACATTACATCCTCAGGCCAATTGACCCTATCATATGTAGCCATCTAGCCAAAGCAAATATTAATATAAAATAGGATGTTAGAAAAGAAAGCTCCTCCTCCAAATCCTGAGACCAATGTGTTCCCCAAGCAAGGATAGGACACAGGCTGGAGAGAGCACTAACCAGTGTCACACTAGGTTCAAGGTGGCTGAGCTCATAAGCACCAAGAGGCAGGCATGTTAAAGAACACTCCCAGACTCGTCTCTCTGGGGCCAGGCTCCTGCTTGGGAGCCGCCATTCTGGTCTATCCCACTTCACTCAGATGAGGAAACTGAAGCTGAGCGAGGCTCCCAGACTGCTCAAGCCAGGCAGCTGGAGTAGACTTGGTATGTAGAGACCTTCATACCCACTAAGCACATTACAGTGTCTTGGCTACTTCCAGCCTCAGCTCCCACCGCAGCCTATTCCTGCCTGCTCCAAAGTAATGTTACCGTCCAGGGTAGAATTTGGAGCCTGCTTGGCAGGCAACAAGTTCACAGGTGCCAAGTGTCTGATTGGTTCATCTGACCTATTTTTAAGGAATCCTTAATTGCTAGGCACACACTACAGATGGACCTCCTGAGTGGTTTGCTTGCAGCAAAAAAGGACCTTCTCCCAGGTGCCTCTGTCTCGTCTCTGGTCCCTTGCCCTTCCCTTCCCACTCCTCATGCCAGAGTATGGCTGAGATAGAACAACACTTATGGAGCTAACTCTTTAAAGCCACTGGGGACAGGTTTCCAGACACCACAGTGGAGGCTTCTCTACTCCCACCCACTTCTGACTGTTGATTAAAGGAAGTAACAGAAACTGATTTGACATCATGCAATTACATTTAAGCATAATTAGATGATGATAAACCCATTAAAATACTCAGCATTATAGACAGTGGGTTAGTTTTATGGGCCTGTATTGCCAAAATCAAGGGGGAAAATGGCCTCTGGTGTCCAAGTAATTGGACACTGTTTCATCTCCAAGGTAACACTGGCAATCACGGGACACATTCTCATGCTCTAGTTAAAAATAAAAATTGCAGAGCAGATGGCACACTGCTTGTGAGTAAACAGCAAACCTACCCTCGGACCCGAGGAACGCAACGAGAATCCATCTAAAGTGGTGTCAGCAGTACACTCCTCCAGCTCACACTCGGGCCCACTTGGGCTCACTCTGCTCAGGGTCCCTAGGGAGGGTGCAGGTCGCTCAGGTCTTTTAGTAAAAAAGGAGTTGAGTACGTGAGAAGGAGTGATACAGGGAAGAACCCTGCTTGGCCCTGTCCCAGTGGGGCGCCAGTCACTCTGCCTTTCAAGGCAGAGTTCCTCTCTCTGGGCTTTACTGAGGTTTTGCTCCTCTGTATAGGAAGAGGCATTCTCTTAAGGTCCATTCTTGCCCAAACAACCAGAGTGGCACTAGTTTAGACCTCATCACCATCAGCTTGGAGTGAAGGCCTCTACTCACTGTGTAGAGGAGGGGAGGGGAGGAAGCAGCTCTAAAGTGACATACCTGAGAAGTGGCAGGGTCGGGATTTGAACCCTGGCAGCCCTGATGTGGCTATCACTCTCACAGCCTCCCATCTCAGGGCATCTCATCTGTCACCTGTATCCGCTGTCCCTTTTTCTCCCAGTGTCCTGATGGCCCCCTTTGTAAAGACCTCACAAAGTACCCACGGTACCGCTGGGTATCAAGCAGAGTACTGATTCATCAGATGTGGTCCAACAGCTTAGTGGTGGGGTTGGGGAGCAGGCACCCGTAACAATGACTCTCCCTCATCTGAACATCCAGGAGTGAAGGACTGGTCACAACGTCAGACACTGCACCGACAAGCCCAAGGCTGGACTTTGCAAAGAAGTGGCCACAGCCTTCCAGGTGCTCAGGGCCTTGCTTCCTCGCCGGCACCCACTGAGCTCTGTCACGTCCACACTGGCTCTCATTTTTATTACTGCCCAGGCTAGACAGCCTCAATGAATCACCCAGCTATCCATTCAAGAGTGCACACTGAGCCCTGTATACTGCCAAGGTGACTGAGAATAAGCAGACCTACTGCCCTCATCAGTTTGGAAGGGGGTGGGGAGGGGAGGAGGAATAGGAGGGAGAAAGAGAGAGAGAGAGAGAGAGCAAATAATCACACAAGGAATGGGAAATCATTGTGCTAAGGGAGGCAAGGGAGGATTGGTTTGCCATAAGAATCTATGGCCAGGAGGCTGAGTGTGCAGCTCAATTGGAGAGCTCAGGCTGAGGAGCCTAAAACTTTGATGCCCAGCAAGGCACACACCAAAACCAATGCAAATAAACAAAAACTCCATGACCAGTAGCGTGACTCCGAGTAGTTGTTCCTCTTGCAATTGCCAGCCTAAGCCAGGAATTTGTCAGTGCATGTTCTTCCCAATTGTCCTTGTCCCTTGCAGAATACAGCTGACCTAAAGATATGTGGGGTATTTGCATATGGGCAAATACAAAAGGGGCATAAACTCTGCACCTTTTCTCCCCAAGGCAAAGGGCCAACTCTTCACCAGCCTCAAACACTCACAAGTCAGTTAGGACCTGTGTTCACCAGGTAGGCCACTGTCCTCAGAATTCCCTACTTGCTATCAAGGCATTATGGCTGCCATCTCCACCATACTGCAGGCTGAACACACCCCACAGTGCACACACGCACGGCAGCCTGTGAATGTCAGCTGTCAGAAACTGCTCTGGGCTATGGTAAGCTCCCGATTCCCCACCTTTCTCAGGGGTACAGCTGGAGTCACAGAGCTCTCATGTGGGGCTAGAGGGCAGGCTGGGTAGGAGCTTTGTTGAACCCAGAAGGAGTTCAGGCCTTTCCCTCCCTAAAGGCAGGGAGGGCATTTGAACTTCTGCTAACTCTAGCCCTACACAAATAGCAGTAGCAGTAAGTGGAAACAGCTGTAGCTTATGGCTGACACGGCCATACACCCACACCTGAATTCTCTAACAACATCTTTGGGCTCTTCCTAGAATCTAGTTATTTAAATTTCACATCCCAAGAGGTAAGAACCACACTTTGTGATCCCTTCTAGGCTAGTCACAAATAGGCACAGGAGTGGAAACATGGCAGATTCAACTACTTGAGGTCAGAGGATGAGTTTCAGCACTGGCCAACAGCATTAAGTTCCAGCGAAGACACAGCAGCTGCTGTCTGCCCCTTTAACAGGAGCCCCTCTGCGCGCTCCGGCCCACACTGCCGCCTCCTTGCCTACCACATGTCCACTGCAACACGAGGCTCGAGGAAAGGACCTTTATCATGAGCCTTTAAGGAGCTGTCACAGACGGTGGGCCCTTGACCGAGATGCCTTACTTAATATTCTGCCTTGTACTGGAAAAAAGTCAGCAAACGTCATCCCATCATGGCTACCCAGTTAGAATGAAAGTTCTTAGGAAGCAGTCACCAACTGTGGTATCCAACACGCCATTTCCTTGCTGCAAACACTTGAGTCTGGACCCCACAAGGTACTCAACAGATTGATGACGTGCTGTAGCATTTTATGTGCCTCAAAGTACTTGGAAAATAAACCCATCAAACAAATTTATTGACTACCCACTAAACCCCTTGACCCAGCCATAGAAACTTGATGGCAGCTGATTGAAACGAATTGGTTCTTAAAAAAAAAAAAAAATTATCAGTGAGAAAACAGAAGCCATTACTGTTCAGAACAGATAACAAGTGGTTGCCCTCCAAGCACAGAGGCAAACGCCCATGGATTCATGGAGGAGCCAAGCTGATGCACATTTCATCTCTGGTGCCACTTACGGGTATGCTGCAGGAATCCCCATCACGCTCAGCCTGAATCTCCACACTTCCAAGGTGCAAGATGGAGGCAATTATCTTAAAGATGCTTATTTGATGAGACTCCCGCACTCCTGAAGGGGGGAAAAATGGCATGAATGACATCCAATATCTGTGCTATTATAGAAAGGACTTTTTACCCTTTTTAAGGACTTTAAAAATTGTTTGATTTTCCTTCCTGGGTTAGGGTTAATGACTCCCAAAGCCAGCCAGGCCAAGTGATTACCACTCAAAGTAGCATCTCAGCGGCAAGGGGGCTCCTGGACTAAAGGGTAAATACCCTCACTGATTGTCTGGATCGCACAGATGGGGCCTGTTATCATTTTAACTTCTCCAAGAGCAAGGAGAGGCAGCAGTAGGATTGACTCATTTTGAACTTCATTTCAACCAGGCACTTTATGGGTGTTTTTATGAGTTTAATAAGGATGGCCATTTATCTGCAGTCATTTTTTTCCCTCCTAACTTAATATCCTGTAAACATCTGTGACACAAACACAGGGCCAACTGGGAAAGAAAGAACCTTCCACCACACCCCTGGGATTACTGTCCTAGGGACTGGCCAGCCAGCTGGTTTATGTGCACTGCCAGCTGAGGAAGGCTGTTAGTCCCGTGACAGAAGCACACACTGCCCAGAAACACTGTGGCAGCAAACTTGATGGTCACATTTGTTATTTGCCTGCATGAATTACCAAAGGCATGTCTCTAAAATTTAGATTTAGCTTCAAGGGATTAGTTCTTTTAAATTTTTAATATTAATATTCGTTCTTTTAAATTTTTTAATTTATTTCAAACTTATTAAGAAAGTTGACAGAACGGTATGATGAATATTAGTAAAGTTGCCTTCTATTGAATGAATGGCAAATGAAAGGCAAATGGGAATGAGTGCTCCCACCACTCCTCCTCAGCTGTGCCTACTCATCCTTCTGGCAGGGCTTTACCCAAGCTACAACAGCCATTGCATCTGTATTTAAATGGGAGGCAAAGGCAGGTTTTGCTGGGGTTAGAGATTACCACAGATAATCCCCAAAGTGGACAGCCTCAGCATAAACTAAGTAAAACAAGAAAGCCCTTTCCTATCAGGGGATCCTCTGAGCAAACCCGTACTATGGGAAGCAGGAACCAAACAATCCAGTGATAAGCAGTAACAAATGATAAGCAGTAACAGAATAAAACAGTGCAAACCTTATACGTAAGGCTGAGGGAAAATCCCGAAAAGCAAAAGGAAAGACTGCAAGAGCCAGAGACTCGGGGTGCCTGCTATTAGAGCATGCCTTCTAGTCATGACAGGGAAGCCATCATGAATCTCCACCATGTGGCTGCCGGAACTAGACCTGCACAAGCACGGCAGTAGCTGGCATGCCAATGTGGATGGGGATGTGCCACGAGGTCCTGCACTTAGAGGAAGGGTTTCATGTAACCAAGGGAGGAGAAATCGGTTTCTTCAAGAGAGGAGCTCCCTGATAGGTTACCTAATCCCAAGCGGGCAGCCTCAACACAGGTAGATACAAGCCACAGTGAATGGTCCGAACACATACATACTTAACAATAATACTTAATAGTAATTAAGTGAGAGGCCATAAATTTGAGAGTGAGTGTTGGAGATGGGCACAAGATGGGCTGGCGGACAGGAGGGGTAGAATGATCTAAATACAGTAATGATTTAAGAAATTTACAAACAATTTAAAAAGTTTAGAACCATCAATTAAACCTATGGAATAAAACAAGGGCCAACAGCCCATGCCCCACAGTCCACAGGCTATGTAACCCATGTAAGAGCCCACTTGGTTTAGCTGAAGCTGTTTGCAGGCTACTGCGGCACAGATGAGTAGAAGCAACAGAAGCCACACATTCCACAAAGCCCACGCTCTTTACTATCTTATATTTTAAGACAATTTATTTCCATCCTCAGTAGCTAAGAAAGAGTAGGGAAGAAAGCCTTTCTAAAATAATGTTGTAAATGTGATCTACTTTGAGAACTAAAGCATTTATCTCAGAGCCTGGGAGGTTCCCGCCCGCCTCCTACCAGCTCCTGCTCATCGCTACAGCCGCCCAGAGTGGGCTGCAGCCCCATGACGGATGCTTCTCCTGTCCACAGGCTGGGCAGAACACATCCTGCTCACCCTCGGGTATCTTCCTAAGTCCCTGACTGTGGTGCTGGGCAAAGCCAGAGGCATAGACAGCAAGATATTCTGTCTTCCCTCCCTCGGGGAGCTGCTCTATACCAACTGGCAGAGCATCCAGGCTCTGAACAGAGGACCCTTCAGTGATGCAAAGGCAGTGGAAAGGTGGTCCCCACCTGGTTCTGGTCCCTGCCAAGTGTCACTATTCACCTGGGAGTCCGACAGCCTCCCTGCTGAGCTCACATTGGGCCTACGGACTCACCACTCTCAGTGCAAGCACAGAATGCTGGTTATCACCCTTGAGCACCCTTCCCTCTCCTCCCAGGCTACTTAATGGTCCTTGGGATGTTTGGTTCCTTACACTAGCCATAGCAGTGCTTCCTTTGGCTCTGTGGCTCCTGTCCTCAAAGTCCACTTTGGCCCTTTCCACAGTTAATCACGTCCTGTCACTCCAGTTATAACGATGCTGTTTTCATGATGGAATAACCCCAGAACTTTCTGTCTCCTGGTAATTCACAGCACAAAAGATGAATTCTACTCAGGTGCCAGCTACCCAGAGAAGTGATCACACCAGGGCCACAGCACATAAGCCCCTCATTTCCTCCCCTTAGAGACTAGAGTGTGTCCAGCTTGATCACGTTTAATTTGGACAGTGACAAAACTTGGCTCATACCACAGAACTGAACAGATGCTGTTCTGAGCAACCTGACAGAGGTGCCACATGCTTCATCTCTGACAGAGAAGGGGTGGGGAAGACTCCGTGGCCCTGAGTCACGTTCTGAGTTTCAGGCCACCTTATGCTTCCCCTTGTCTGGCTACAGGCCCCAGGACTGACTGTTTTAACTTCCCAATCAAGAAAGAATTACTTTTCATCTCACAAACCTGGGAGTGCTTCTCCCCCTAAATCAGGCTGGGGGTATGGACAATTTCCCTCAGCTCTACCAAGCCCATTTGCTACTGAAGGTCACCTAGAACTCGAGGACTGCCACCCACAGGGCTAGCACACCTGTAGTCCAAGTGCCGAAGGGTTCAGCCCAGATGCTGTGTCTCGTGCACAGGTGGTCTGGCTGAGTGGGAGGGTCTTTCTGGGGGCACACGTTGCCTCTGAACCCAGACCACACACACAAGACACGGCTATGCTGGGCTTTTCTCCATACGTTTCAGCACCTGAGGAAGTGACTGGATATTTTACGGCACTTGGCTCAAAAGCATATTTCTGAGGAAGCTCCAAATCCTAACGTTTGCGGACTATGGACTGAGAGAGATCAGAGTGTAAGAGGTCATTCACCGACACTCAGAGGACTCAGCAGGGAAGCCAGTGAGACCTCGCCTCACTTCCTCCTCTCCGTGGGATCAGACCCCGGTGCAGGCTGCTCTCATTCAGAAGCTCCTTACCAAGCAGCGTGAAGGCCTGTCGAGTCTTCTCAAAATCTTCTGCATCATCGACACCCTCGATAGCCGTGCTCCCTCCATGGGATGTGTAGAAGAAGTCCTCTGCACATGCTGCGGGAGGGAGGAGGTGAGGTGTGGAAAATGAGAGAGAAGACAATAGAGAAACTTGTATTACACTCAAGGTATGTGCTGTGTGCATGTAAAGGCGGCATGGTGAACGTGTTGGTAAGATAAACAGGTCATGGGGCATTTAGTTCGCCACCATTTAATTCAGATTTGAGCCTCTGAAGGACCTAACACACAAGGAAGATGGGTACTTAGAATCATATCCTAGAACCTCGTACTTACGGCCTCAGGTGGGCCTCGTCCCGCAGCCACATTTGACAAGCACGGGGCAGTGGAGGGTGCCTGTGACTGTCTTTGTGTACTTTACAAAGTCAGGCACACGGGAGCCTCGAGAGGTAAGGACAGGGAAGGGCTGATATCCTTGTGTTTTCTCACCTCCCGGGTCCCCGCTCCCCCAGCCATGCCTCTGACAGCCTTGACAGCTGGTGAGAGAGGAGAGCCAGTGCGGCGTTTTACACTTGAGAGACACGCTTAGCAAAGGGCAAACGTACAACAAGCAAGCGAATGGCATTACTCAGGACGGCAATATCTGCTCCTACAAAGGCCCTGGCCTCAGAGGTCAGGCTGAAAAACGGTGATTGACTGTAATAAAAATTATTTTGGTCGGGGGCTGCTGATGAGATGCTCAGCAGTTAGGAACATATACTGTCTATGCAGGAGTCTCAAAACCTCCAACTTGCGGGAATCCAAAGCCTCTGGCCTCTGTGGGCACTGGCACTCACGTATATGTATTCACACGCATGCACAATGTTTAAACATCTCCGGAAAGTACAAAATGTGAGGACAGTCCTGCCTGGTACTTCATGCTCAAAGTGTATAGTGCTCATTTTTTAAAATTATTAAGTAATTTTTTATTCATTTTACATCCTGGTTGTAGCCCTATCCTTCCTCCCCTCCCTGTCCCATTCTCCTTCCCTCTTTCTTCCCTGTTGCCTCTTTCTCAGAAAAGGGGAGCCCCCTTTCCCATCCACCCCAACTCATCAAGTTGCATCAGGACCAAGCATGCCCTCTTCCCCTGTGGCCTGGTAAGGCAGTCCTGCCAGGAGAAAACGGTCAAAAAGCTGGCAAGAGAGTCTATGTCAGATGCAATCTCCACTTCCCTTACTAGAGGACCCACATGAAGCCTAAGCTGCCCATTTGCTACATCTTTGTAGGGGGCCCAGGTCCAGATCATGCATGGTATTTGGTTGATGCTTCAGTCTCAGCAAGACTGTTTATGCCATAGTTAGTTGTTTCTGTTGGTCTTCTTGTAGAGCTCCTGTCACCTCCAGGTCCTTTTCTCTTTCCTCCCACTTTTCCACAAGACTCCCTAAGAATTGCCCAATGTTTGGCTGTGAGTCTCAGCATCTGTTTTGAGGCGCTGCTGGGTAGAGTCTTTCAGAGGCCATCTCCGTCAGGCTCCTGTCTGCAGCTTAGCAGAGTATGGTTCACAGTGTCAGGGGTTGGCACTCTCCCATAGGGAAGGTCTTTGGTTGGGCCAGGCATTGGTTAGGCATTCCCTCAATTTCTGCTTATCTGCTCTCTCTTTATCCCTGCACATATTGGAGGCAGGGTAAATTTGAGGTTGAAGCTTTTGTGGGTGGGTTGGAGTTTTCCCTCCCTCTACTAAGAGACTAGTCTAGTTAGAGGATGTCCTCTTCATTCTCTGTGGTCTCTGCTACTAGTAGTCTCTGCTTGAATCCCCCTCATATCCTCCCAGGAGCCTACCCTGATTTAGGTCTCCAGCTTGTCACAGAGATACCCTCACCCTCAGTTTCTCTTTTCTCTACAGGCTTTCTGTCCTCTTGCCCTCGCTCTCCTCAGATCTGATCTCCACCCTCTTAACTCTCTGTGCTCCCTTTCCTACCTTGCTCCCTCTCTTCAGCCACTACCTCTGTCTATTCTCTCTCTCTTCTTTGGGACATGCACTGCTTTTCCTCTTTCCCTAAAAACCATCCAGTAAATCCTTTTCCTGAGACCTGGGCATGCACACATCAGCTCCATAATGACTCCAAGCCCATCAGCACTGCATTCTTCCATTTATCTTCTAAGAACGTTTATGGTATATTTTCTTTCTCCATGCTGACTACCATTGCTGAGGGTCTGACCTTCAGTAAGTGTTGCAGAGGAAATGTTGCAAAAGATTCTAAACCTATGTTTGTATTTTGGCTTTCATTCTCCCAAACCCACCCCCACAATGCTGATAACTCCAGTTACATCACTCTCCTGCACAAAGGCCTCCAACAGTCTCATTGCCATCAGGGCAAGGGTCAATGTTCTAAACCTTTTGTGACATGGGCACCCCTACTCCTCCAGACTCACAGCCTGTCCCTTTCTTCTTTATCTTTGTGTTCTACACATACCAGCCTCCTTGCAGTAGCTCCTCAGCCCTTCCATTTGTCATGCTCTCAACAGCCCCTACCCACCTCTCCTTTCTCATCTCTACCCATGTCCTGGTGCTCCTATGTAACATCCATGTTCCAGGCCACAATGCATTCAGCCAACAGTTTTGGAGAAGTAAGCATGAAATGCGCCAGGCCCAGCTGGAAAGTATCAGAAGTCAGCACTGAAGTTTATGATGATGATACAACCAAGACTACCATATGCTAGACCAATACTTAAACAGGAAGAAGTAGAGAGGCATGCACAGACCATCCACTGAGTGCTGAGAGGTCTCCTGGAGGATTAACTTAACACATGTAGGTGAGAGAAGGCCAAGGTTCTTGAGCTGGAGCAGAAAGGACTTCAGCCCTTTTTCCACTCAGAGGTTCAACAGAAGTAAATCTGTATGACTTATGCTCAAAACATACTTAGCACTTTCATAGCTAATTACTCCACAAGCTCAGGGTGCTGAGCAAGGACAGATTCAAAAGTTAATAATAAAGTAGTTCCTTCTCTTAAACTCACTTTTCCAAATAGTTTACCTGACAACTTTCCCAGTGCCCCAAAAAGAGAACTTACTGCACTTGCTCCCACTCTTCAGCTTGTAAACTGAGGACTCCAGTATCCTAAGGGGATGAACAGGCTCACCAGGGGGTGACCAGGATGGGGAGCCCACTACTTGAACATTTCCTTAAAGAGATGATTGATCTTTAGCATCCCATGACTTTGTTTTTTTTTTTTTTTTTTTTTTTTTTTTTTTTAACTCATTTCTGAATGTCAGCCAAGACAGCAGAGTCACTAGAGACTGAAGGAAGACATCTGGCTTCTATGTCAGAAGGAAGGCATTTTCAGCATCTCCAGAAGATCTTTTACTATCAACAGCTAGGGCCCTATTGCCTGTGGGTCTGAGTCTGACAGACCACCCCCACCTTCCCTGCTCTGTATGTCCAAACTCAGGTCCAGTTGGGTTTCGTCTTAGGCTAAGGCTTATCACTGCAGAGGCCACCTGCCAAAGGATCTCACAGCTACCAACAAGGTCATCCCTCTCCCCTTTCTTTCCACCCACCTGCAGTTGCCAGTTATCATCACACAACAGACCCCATTAGTAAGAGACATGCAAGCAGCATCCAGTTAGTTCTTGCCCATCTGCCTGGCTGGCTGCAGCTCATCCTCCTCCAGTCAGGTCTATGAAGTCAGCACTGTTTTTCCTACCCACAACACCTTCTCTCATCACCCAGTTCAGATCTCTCTCTCTCCTTCTTGGCCCCCCTCTCTCTTCTAAGAATTTCCAAGTAGAAGTGTATACCACAACACCTATTAACTGGTTCACCAGACAGATTCTAGCTCAGGCAGTCAAAAGACCACAAAGAGACCATCAGTCTATGATTGGAGCACCAAACATCAGGGTCAATGTCACAGAGCTTAGATCTCACCTAGGGAGGCTGTTACTCTGGCCTCTGCCAAGTCCATAATGCCAATACACCGAAGAGGGTAAAAAGGAAAGGGAACTTCTTTAATCACCTGACAATGTATTTAAGGACGATGGAAACTTTATCAAGACTTATTCTGTGACAAAAATCCTCACAGACTTTGTTTCTAAATTTCCCAGGGTCGTTTTAAATATAAAGAACAATGATGGGGTGGAGGAAGACTACGGGTGACAGTACATAAATCCTTGGCCTCCACCTTCAGACAAATGCACAAGTTATGTCAGAGGTTTTCGTATGGTGTTGTAGGTTAAGAACAAGACAAGGATAACGGTGTCTACAGAATCACCCGGAGCTTCCAGATAGTCTCATTTATTTGACTTTCTCAGCTATTTATCAGTGAAACCAAAAACCACGCTTCACAGCTCATAGCCAATCCACCCACAAGAGCTTATCACAGGCTCTTCAGTTCTAAGATGTAAGAAATTGATTGAATTGGGTAATTTTCAAGGATTCTGTCAGAAGCCCAGGGAGTCTGCACCTCGTACAAACTGGGAACAGGGCAAAGCCATTTAAAGCCTCAATTCAACTCATGTAAATGAAAAGTTAGACAACTTCCCTAGTAAAGGTCCACTCAGGACAAAGTGGCCAGCCTGGTGGGTCATGTCCATATTTGATTCTCCATAAAACTGATCTTTGTAAAAACCGATTCTACAGGCTGGCCATGGAAACCCCACCCCCACTCTGGGAAGATAAGAGGAGAATGACAGTTGTCTATATCATGGCTGCTTATCTGGCCACTTGTGACTAAAAACTGGCATCCAACCCAAAAGGCCCCAGGTCAGACCAGTGCTCAAACAAGGGCCACTGAGAACCTGCCCTGACTAGCCTGGGAGCATGCACTACTTGTACTCGGAAAGTTATGATATCCCTGGAAGGACTAGACTTGCCAGCAACTGCACAACAGGACAGACCAGCACAGTGGGTGGCATCTAGTGCGTCCTTTTCCGAGGGGAGACTTTGGCTGAGATGGTGCTTCCTGAAACACAGTACTTCCCACCCAATGCTGTAACTGACAGACTAAGCTATGGCAGAAGCCACAGCTGGGTCACACAGTATTGCATTACCATGGCCTGAACCGTGTGATATATAAATGAATACCATAGGAGCTTATCAGGAAGGAAGCAAACCCTGGAATGATTTATGGGTTTGAATAAGAGTTGCCTCCAAAAGCTCATATATTCACATGCTTAGTCACCAGGAAATGGCACTATTTTAAAGGATTAGAAAGATTAGGAGGTGAGGCCTTGTTGGGAGAAGTGTTACTGAGACTGGGATTTGAGGTTTCAAAATCCCATGCCAAACCCAGTCTCTTTCTCAGCTTGCAGATCAGGATGCAGCTCTCAGCTATGCGCGCCACCATGATAAAGATGCACTGAACCTCTGAACCTGCAAGCCGGCCCCTAATTAAATGCTTTCTTTTATAAGACCTGCTTGGTCGTGGCAATAGAACAGAGGCTAAGACAGCACTTGATGGATTTTAGCTACTAGTGACACAGCTGGATCTGGTGCTATCCAGATCTCAGGATAGCTAAGATTTGGGGACATAGCCTCAGCAATCTGTCTATCACTGAGCTGAAAAGACCAACCAACCTTTTCCAACAAACCAACTCTTCACATCAACTTTCAGCCAAGGCTCCTCCTACACAGACCCAAGTACAGATAACAGGCTGAGGATAGGATGCTGCTAGGCTCCAGAATGGGCTGTCATCACTCAGGTTCTGAGGTTCCAAAACCAAGACTCCACCCCACCCCAGACAGATGAAGCAGGGCCCCCAGCCCAAGGAGAGATGCCAGGAATAAAAGCCTGCCCACCTCCATCTCCATATCAATGCTTCAGAGCAAGAGGGACTTGCTAATGCATTCACGGGGGAAAGATAGATGGATGGATGGATGGATGGATGGATGGGCTCACTCATTCGATAGGGGACAAGCTAGTCACTGTATTGGCTGTGGAAGTGATGACACACTTTGGTTATCCCATTCCACTCCATAGCTCCACCATGAATACGCTAGAAGCTTCCATGCCTGTTCAAAAAGGACCCACCGTTTCGCAGTACTGAATCTCACTTGTCTCACTGTGACTCTGTGGTGACTTAAGCCTTATCTGTGTGTTCTGTAGCCTTTCCCACCATGGCCAGCAACATATACAAATATATGTGTGTGTGTGTGTGTGTGTGTGTGTGTGTGTGTATACATGCATATGTGCAGGTGTGTGCACATCCGTTTAGGCAAGGGTCACATTAGGCGGCTTCTTTGATCACATCTGTCCCCTACTGTTTGACACACAGCCTGTTACTGAACCTGAGCCCATCTATTCCAGCTAGGCAGACTGGTTGCCCACTGAACTTGAGGAATTCATGTCTCCATGCCCGAGTGCTGGAGTTACCACATGCATTCATCCATACATGGCTTTTTGGGGATCCAAACACAGGTCCGACAACCACTTGCATGGCTGAACCATCAGCCCTGTGACACATCTTTTAAAGTGGTGACACCTGCTCTGCAAAATACATTTCCATCCCTACAGCTCGTTCTTCGCAGGAAGGCTGGATACAGTTAACCCCGCTTTACTAACTTGCAGTAAGATTCTGACAGGACCGAGGTACAGGAGCACAGTAGCTGAGACAAGAACCCACAACTGAGGGTCCTGGCCAGAGCTCTTAGCTGCCTGACATAGCAACTCTCCTTGCAGAGGCGCCTGGGTGCCTGCTGACTTACTTAAAGCAAGCTCTTTAAATTCAGGAAGGCTGGCAGCAGCACAGAGCTGGTAAAAGATGTGGTAATTCCTCTCATCTTCTGCCTGGGGGAGGAAAAGGATCAGATTTAGGCAGCGATTCCCAGGAGCATCTCCTCAGCCACTCTGATCCCAGATGTTCCATCGGTGGCATGAGCGGAGACCATCCTCCCTCCAGTTTTTCATCCATGCCAAGCCACCTGCAGTTTCAACCGCCTTATTTTCCACTTGCTATGACAGGGTCTGCTCCTCCTGTGAGGACTTTTTACCTCCTGGCTTATGTGGAAGCAGGCATTTCCTTTTCTTTAGACATTAAACACCACTACTGTGCCACAAATGGTGGGTCAGTTAGCAAACACTATCTTCCTTACTGCTTGACTGGCTCTTGTAAGACCTTTATCTTCCTGTTGGAAGCTCCCTTTCTCGTGTGGGACTTGGAAGGAAGTTAAAGCAGAGCTTGTCTATTCTGTTGGGCCAGACAGTCAGGAAGGTCCCTGGGAACTTTTGGTGGGTGCTTGTGACTAGAATGACCTTAAATCAGCAGGGTTGGGGCTGGGGGGGGGTAGAAATAGTTAGGAGGCCTGGGAAGAGACAGCCACGGAAGGGGAAAGTTCAAAGCCAGCATGGAGTACAGGCAGCTTGTCAGCCCACCCAGCAAAGCTGCCTGCTCCTTCTTCTGTAGTGGAGGAAGGACTTGGGACTGCCGAAGCAACCTGTGAGGGAAGGGTGAGCTGCTCTAAAAGGTCATGAAATATTTGTTACCCATTGTCAGGGAGCTGTCACTAAGAAGCCACTCAGGAGACTCTGGGGTTCCTGAGGAAAAGCAAGGTGCAGACTCCAATCAGGGCCACCACCGTCTCCACGGAATCAGGCCACCTCAGCCCAGTGAGGAGAGAGCCAAGCTGCTGCAGGACAGTGATGGCTGAGGTTGCCAGTAGCACTGACCATCACCAGAACCAGGAAGAAATGAGTCAGGCAGAGATCAAGGAGAGCTGAGCAGGAGGAAAAGGAGGATCGACAGAGAGCAATCAAGGACCATGGTAGGGAAGAAATCACACCAGTTCCTAGGAAACCAAATATATGACTGAGGGTATGTGTGTGTGTGTTTGTGTGCATTATTTTATTTCAGCCTATCTATCTAGTCACACACATATTTTGACTCACCAAGCAAGCAGGTTCCCAGAAAGCTAAAACCCAGGCCCTGTCTAAAACACTCTCTAATGATAAGACTGTAAAGCCACAAGAAGACTGCCCTGTTCTTTATCCCTGGATCTAGCACAGGCTTAACACACAACAGGCAAAGCAATACTGTATAAATGCTTAGTCCACATGAATATTTACTCTGAAAGAGAAGAAAGTAAACAAGCATGTTGACCCAGGCCGAAAGATGGGCCAGTCTGTGAGCAAAGGGAGTGTGTGGAACAATAATGGTGATGAAACACAAATGACAGAGTCCTGCCACTCACCTGAAAGACCACTCTGGACTTCTCCAGCAAGTAGGTTCTCATGTTGGCCCCAATGATGTGATACTTTTTATCAAAGCCAATCTCAATGTACTTCCCAAAGCGGCTGCTGTTGTCATTGCGAGTGGTCTTGGCATTCCCAATGGCCTACATGAACAGACAATAGAAATGTGTGAAAAGTGAAGGCAAGGGGCTCAGTCAGCAAAGTGGCATGCATCTCCCCTACACCGCCCACCCCATGGGCTTCTTGACTTCAAGACTCTAGGCCTGTGCCAGCATGGAATCCTGCATGGAATTCCATGCATGGAATTCTTCCCTTCCGTACACACACCTCTGCTATCGTGAAGACAATAGGCTGAATCAGACGTTCTGCTTGGTTTGCTTAAAACTAAACCAAAACCAACTTTAGTTTTCAGCCCCTTTTAAAATTGCTGGCCACCGTTAAGAGAAATCAGTTGAGTAGAAGACTTTTTAAAGGCGACACAGAAGGTAAGAGATATTCTAACCCGCTGTCCTCTTCTCTTCCCCTTTCTGTCTAGAATATACATGGGATGGTGCCACCAGCCACTGAAGGCCCATGAAGCAAAGATCTAGAGAGTCAGAGACCCTGGCTCTGATGTTCTGGAACCATCAAATCAGCACTAGCTCCTGCCGGCTGGTCTGTGAGAGAACACCACCTGCTGTGCTTAAGCTACTTTGATCATCACACAATCAAGCAGCCAAGTGCTTTTCCCCACGGGCAAATGGCACTGGAAAGGCCACCAAATGACATGATGACCCAGCTCATTACTAGGGCAGATCAGGAAGTCACCCATGGTGGGGATCATTACCTACACAGTCAGGCCACAGACTGAATACTATAAATATTTTTTATTTTTGAGACGAGGTCTCTATGTACCCCAACTGGCCTTGAATTTGCTATGCAGACCAGTCTGCCCTCCAACTCATAGCAATCCTCCTGAGTTCTGGAATTAAAGGTGTGTGCTGTCACATCCAGCCCGAATAGTCTTTAAAATCTGTCATTTTCTTACCCAGGGTCCTCCTTCTTGCTTAGCTTCTTTAGGTGTACAGATTTTATCATGTTTATCCTATATTATATGTCTAATCTCCACTTGTGTGTCTTTCTCCTTCTGGGATACTTTACTCAGTATCCCACCATTTGCCTGCAAATTTCATGATTTCCTTGTTTTTAATTGCTGAATAGTATTCCATTATGTAAATATACAATTTCTGTATCCATTCCTCAACTGAGGAACATCTGGGTTGTTTCCAGATTCTAGCTATTACAAATAAAGCTGCTACAAACATGGTTGAGTAAATGTCCTTGTTGTATACTTGAGCCTCTTTTGGGTATATGCCTAGGAGTGGTATAGCTGGATTTTGAGGAAGTACTATTCCTAATTTTCTCATTCAGAAAGGCAAATGGGATGGACATCGGAAGAGGGAGAAAACAGGGAACGGGATAGGAGCCTACCACGGAGGGCCTCTGAAAGACTCTACCCACAGGGTACTGAAGCAGATGCTGAGACTCATAGTCAAACTTTGGGCAGAGTGCAAGCACTCTTATGAAAGAAGGGAGATAGAAAGACCTGGAGGGGACAGGAGCTCCACAAGGAGAGCAACAGAACCAAAAACTCTGGGCCCAGGGGTCTTTTCTGAGACTGATACTCCAACCAAGGACCATGCATGAATATAACCTAGAATCTCCTGCTCAGATGTAGCCCATAGCTGCTTAGTATACAACTGGGTTCCCTATAAGGGAAACAGGGACTGTCTCTGACATGAACTCAGTGGTGGGCTCTTTGACCACCCCACCAAGAGGGGGAGCAGCCTTACTACAGAGAAAGACAATGCAGCCAGTCCTGATGAGACCTGACAGGCTAAGGTCAGAGGGAAGAAGAGGAGGACCTCTCCTATCAGTGGACTTGGGGAGGGACACTGGAGGAGAAGAGGGAGGGTGAGATTGGGAGGGGATGAAGGAGAGGGCTACAGCTGGGATACAAAGTGAATAAATTGTAATTAATAAAAAATAATTTTTAAAAAATAAGTCATTAAATATTGGTCTTATATGACTATTAATTTTCTGTATGTCATAAAACTAACATACCAGTAATAGATTTTTCTTATTTTAATCTCTTGTTTATTCACATTTTTAGGTGGTAAAAACACTTGGAAAATCCCACTGCAACTTTTTAGTGGTCTAGAAGACATGAAGCTCCAAGAGGGTGAAAGAAAGGTCCAAACTCACCCTTCAGTCCAGGCCAGCCAGGTCCAACCAACAGTCTAACTACTTATATCTGCCAGTTTCAAATCGCAGCTGGCCTCCGAGATCAAGAAGGTGATGATGGAGCTCAAGACACGCCTCTACTGCTTTCCAGACCTAAAAGGTGACTTCTAACACACATCCTCACGCTTTGTGAAGGTCACTGTCACCGTTCCTGCTCTGGAGGTAGCTAAGCGAAGCCAAGACCTGGCTCTCTGCTGGGGAAGTGGTTCTGCCAGCACCATCTTTCCATCTAGCACACCCCCAGCACATCACCATGATGTCCTCTGGTCAAGCAGTTTTAGTTTCCCTCTGTCCTGCTGCCACCTGAACCACATCACCACTGCCTTTGTCCTGGACAACGTCAACTATGTCTCTATACATGCTCTTGTGTCTTGGAGTCAATTTTCCTCTTGACTGACAGAGCAATTCGTGTAACACGTGAACCTGATTATATTATTGGTGGAATATGCTTCAGTGGCTCTCATTACCCTTTAGTTTGAGAACCTCAAAATGGCCACATCCCTGGGAGCAGCCCAGCCACCCTTGCTAAGCATCCCTCTAGCACTGGGTCCTCAGCTCTCTAAACCAGAACACTTTCTTTTTTTCCCTTCAACCGTCATGTCAGTTCTTCACACTCACACAAGATTCACCTTCACTGCTCCCTTTGCTGAGATTCTCTTCCCACAGCTCCCCATGCCTCCCAGCTCCTCTTGTTCAAATCCAAACCTGAAGGCAGGCAGATAGCCCTTCCCTGACCCCATAGACCAGAAGAGTTTCCCCTGCCATGCATCCTTCTGGGCCTGCACACACCCTGTCCCCTCCAGGAAAGGATGGATGTACATTAATGGCTACATTAATGGCTTCTAAGGCACTGCACAAATAGCTCTTAAGCCCTGTGGACAATGGCCGATTGTCAAACTTCAGTTTTGAAGATGGAAAAGCTAACTGTCCTCTCTAGAATGCTGGGAAAGTTAAACTTCCCAGGGTCTCCCAACTTGAGTCTACGGCTGCTTAGTGTATCAGTTAACATGGACAAGAACCCTAACAGACCGCTACCACTTTTCATCTACTTACAGGAAATGGGCCTGGGAGGGTCAAATAATTTGTTCAAGGTCAAGGGGCTAGGAAGTGGGCAAGATTTAAATTCAGGTGCGCCTGGGCTCTCAAGTCTAGATGCAGACTACAAGAACCACAGTCCTTCATGCCGTCTCCCAGGTCACCACCACTCACGCCAGACAAGAAGCTGCCTCACAAAGGGGCAACTTCCACAAGTCTAATGACCGAGCCAAATCAGAAGTGAAGACAGAAAGCAATACCAACCCTGCAACGAGGCCTTTCCTAGCTCAGAGGGCAGAGCGGAGGACTGTAGTGCAGAAGCACCAACCCGCATATTTACCCTCTCCAGAAAAACGAGGGGAAGGCATCTCTGAGAACAAACCACCTCAAAAACAGCAAGCTCCCGTGTAGCTGTACCTGATGGGGTAAGGCAAAGAACCCAGTCAGCCACACCTTCTTGCCCCTAATGTTAGAACAGCCAACACAGTGAGGTAAAGTCTCTCTTTGTAGATTTCCCACTAGTGAGTATTAGTGGTATCCGAGCATGACTGTCACCATCTTGTAATTCTGAGGGATTAACAGACCTAAGCATAACTGGTAGTCGCCTATACAGCACAGCAAGTAGACAGCCCGGCCCTCCTGATGGAAACCCACGGGACTGCCTATGACAGCACCAACAACCACAGCACACTTAAAACCCACAGACAACTGCATATGTTAAGCATGAGTTTGCAATTGGCAAAAGCCAGTTTGTAGAGAATTACAAGACTATTGTCACTACTGTCAACAAATAAACTTCAAGTTCCAATTTGCAATTTCAAATGTGAAGAAGTTCAGATGTCTTATCTTGTAAAATAGACACTATATCCATTACCAGAGGCCAGGTGTGGTGGCTCACATCTTTAATCTCAGCACTTGGTAGGCAGAGGCAGGAGGATATCTGTGAGTTCAAGGACAGTCTGATCTACACAGCAAGTTCCAGGACAACCAGAGCTATAGAATAGTACTTGGCTCAAACAAACAAACAAATGAAAAACAAAAACCATTGCATTTTCTTTGCTGTTTATACATACAGAAACAGGACACTCAAATAGACTTTCCTGTACAATTTGCATAGTAATATACAGTTCTACAATTAATAATTTTAATATTGGGTTACATGACAGAGAATCAGACATTAAGTTTTATGGAAGCAAAAGAGATGGGAACACGTAGCCACGCCAGCATAACAGCAAAGGCTGGAGAAGAGAAAACGCAGTGAATACTACAGAGAACAGACTACTACCAATGGAGGAAAGCGCAGTGTGGTCAAAAGCACAGTAGGGTCTCAAAATAGACAGCTTTGGAGTGGCTGAAATGTGAGGCTGCATAAGAGAACACAGGATGTAGGGCATGTAGAAAGCAGATTCTTTTAAGAATCAGTTAAACACCTGCAGCCATTTTTAAACAATGAAGATCAAATCCTAAAAATCACACTTTCGGTCGTGGCTGTTGTCATTTTGTTCAATGAACCTCTAACCTTTCTTCCTTTCAGTAGGGGAAGTATCTGTGGCTCTCAGAGTTGCATCTCTGATTTCATGATCCTGTGGCCTGGACTTGGTTTTTCCGTCCCTGCCCCCAACAGACTCCTGATTAGCAATGCTCTCCTAAATCAGTTCGGACTTGGGAACGAATCCCTCCTAGGATGCTCATGAGCTATTAAGAAAAATGGGGTCAGAGCACACCAGCAGTGTCATCAAATCACGCCAATTATCCCCAGCAAACCCTGGCCCAGCCTCCAGTCTGCATAATTCAACAGCTGCCACTCAGCTCAGCCTACTGCCCCTTTGCATGCTCAGCCTGTGTCCAGTTCTCTGTCTCCCCAGGAGGTGTCTGCAGTGAAAGCAAGTAGACATGATACAGTAACTGATTGCTTGGGGGTGAGCTGAGGAACTTTTCCCAGGGACTCGGCAGAATAGCTAGTAATCAGCTGCTCCTAATTGAGACACTCTGAGGAGCCACAAGCTGATGACTTCCCAACACACAGGAAGGCTAAACCCAGAACATTTGAAAAGTTGTGCTCTCAACTTCGGCAGAAAAAAAGTTTCTCATTTTCCATTGGCAACAATTGATTCCCGGCCAGGGTTCCTCCTGATTCTGCTGCCTCCTCTTCACAACCAAATTCAAGCTTTCCCCCAAAAATAGCACTAACAGCTCATGTCTGATGGAAGGAGCCCTCAGCACTGATGGCTTCCAAAGGAGCAACGCTGTGCAAAAGCAGAGAGTTAATGTCTGGGGCCCAAACAATGGTATGTATATACACAATTGTGATTAGGATGGCTCATGTCTATACTCCTCATTCAGACCTGGGGGAAGGCATGTTGCTCTTCTGTTTCTAGCATGCCAAAGCATCCTCCCCACAGAACTCAACAGTCTAGTCAGGTTGTAGTGGACAGTGCATACTTTATTAGTAACCATTATACTTTAAAAGGGCAGGGACTTAAATCAATAACTTCCATATCAATGTCCATAGGAGGAATATTCACAGTAGCCAAAAGGCACAAACAACCACATACCCATCAGGAGAGGAATGGCTACACAAATCATGGTGAATTTGTATACTGAGATATTCAGCCATAATAAGGGCAAAGTATTGATAAATGCTAAAATATGGGCGAACCTTTAAATTAACATGCCAAGAAAAGTTAAGCAGATACTCATGGACCAGAAGTATATGTCACTCAGATGGAGTTCCCAGAGTAGTAAAACTCAAAGACAAGACGTTGAAAACAGTTTATCAAGGACCTGGGGAAGGGAAAAGTAATTGTTCAGTGGAAACGGTTTCTATTGGGGTAATGAGAATGTTCTGAAAATGGATGGGAGTGATGAATACACAAACAATGCATCTCATGCCTCCGAATCACATGCCTAAGCAGAATGTTTTCGCCATGTATATTGTACACAACAAAAAATTCTGAAAAGGCCCTTTTTGTTTTATTTTTATTAACATGGTGTCTTGCCTGCACTGAGCTCCAAGTGAGACCAACATTTGCTTTGGTCAGTCATCAGGCATGGAAGGGAGAATTCTCTGCTTTGCCAAGAGTAACTATTTTATCTTTCAAAGAAGGCCAATGTCTCTGAAAAGCTGCCTAAAAGATACACTGAACTTTCAAAGTTGATCGAGGGGGAAAGTGTGCCTTCAGTCTGCTTTGAGAGAAAACACAGTGAGTTGCAAAGCACTGGCCTGGCTGCTTTAATGCAGGTACACATGTGGTATCGGGGAGGCCCAGACCACGGTCCATTGGATCTCTTCCGCACAGCGGCCACGGGCAGGACTCACCGTCACAAGCCCAAGACTACTTAGCTTAACCTGGATATCAACTAAGTGTTGGACAACAGGGTTTTATTGCGGAAAGCCTCTTCCTAATGCATGTTGTGGCAAACTGAGTGTCATGGACAAAAGCTTAAGCTGCGGCTCCCTGTGGAAAGGTTGGCAGTAATGCATTGGAACATGGAGTATCTGCTGGCTACCCTACCACAGGGATCCTGTCATTCTTTCACACTGCCAGCAATCCCTCCTTGTCTTTGTAACAGGTGGGTGGTTCTGCAGTGCTGCTACCTGGATCAGCCAACATTACCCCACATTGGTGCTCCTGGGGATGCAAGGTATTGGTCTCTTTCCCAGCCCTTCTGAATCACAGTCTCCAGATGTGCAGCTCGACACCCTGGAGCCTGCTACTTAGGCCAGGCTGGCCTCTGACTCACAGAGATCCTCCTGCCTCTGCCACCCAAGGACTGGGATTAAGGTGTGCACCACTGCACCCTACCAATTCCAGAGCACTGTGTCAATGAAAGTTCTTCTAGTTTTTATTCTCTGCATTGGCCACGCTCTAATTTATATGAGAATAATGAGGGTGGCTTCTGAATTCTTGGTCTCCTGGTCTCTTGTCACTAAGCAGGAAGGAAAGCTTTCCTGGTAAAGCAATTCTGAAGACAGAAATTTGCTTAAACAGCCAAAAACTGCTGTGACCTGAGACTCTGAATTTACTCCTGCACTTGTCAAAAGCAGAAGGATAGAAAGGGACGCAAAGGGAACATGGAAGGCCCAGAAAGAACCAGACGTTATTTCAACTGTGCTGTTTGTTTCCTTCCAAGCCAAACTCCATTCAGCTTTATCAAGGATGCTTTTTATAACAGGCAGATAACCACTGACATACAACTTTCCAAGTCCCTTCTTGTATAGATTATTAAAATCAGACAGCTACTGTAAAACCCAATAAAGTGCACATTTTATGTTCTGAACAGGGAAAGTTCACCGTGAGGGACAGGGAGCATGTCCCTTAAACTTTTACAAGCCAGTTGTGATCTTCAGGGGAAAAAAATGGCAGAATTGCTCATCTGAAGACTCACTTCTAGAAGAAGAAGCAATGCTTTTTTGAAGAGGGCAGTGTCAGTAAAATCACCATAAAATCCTGACAACCAGACACGAGTCTCTGGATTTAAGGGAGTGGAGGAATGGAAGGACTACAAAATGAGTTGGAGTTTTGTGCCAAATGGCCCTGCGTCTCAGTGACAGGGAATCCCTTCCCTTGGAATTAACAGGAAGACCCTAACACGGGGGGGGGGGGGGGGAGGTGTTTTCAGCACACATCAGTCTAGCCAGGGAAACACTCTGTTAGCAATACAGCTCTTTCCCCATAACAATGAAGTTTTCTGTGTGCTAACAACATACCAAGAAAACAATGAAACTGCTTTTCTATAAAACTCGATGAAAAACATTTCCAGCTATACAGTCACTAGCACAGTTACCCAAACACACACACTTTACTTGGCATTTGAACTGCCTTCAGGCCTCTGTGATCTGTCTGGTGGGAATCTCCACAGGGGCTGTCCATACTCCTGTCAGTGTCAGCTTTTCCCCTTCTCCCTTTTTTCCGGGGGCCTTTTCAGGCTTGGACTCCAGCTTTCCGGGAGTTAGTCAGGAGACAGCCCTGCCCATCTGCCCTGCGGCGTGTCAGTACCTTCACCTCTTCTCCCTCAGCACTCCACATCACCCTGTTGCGGGTGCCACGCTGGTGACAGCAGGGTTAACACACAGAAAGTATGCATGGCTTTCGATTGGACAGGGGTCATCCCCCCCCCTTGTTCTCTTCATAATGCTTCCACCTTTTTTTCTTAATAAAACAAAGGGACTGCCCAGCCTGGAGGAGTAAGCTGAATGTAATCCTGGCAATAAAAAGAGTGTTCGCTTCAAGAGTGGCTTTGATTGCCACCATAACATGGCCTAGAGTCATTTGAATGCCAGTCCTCAACTCAGGAATTATCTGCATCAGACTGGTCTGTGGGCATGTCTGTTAGGGACTGTCTTGATTTTTAACTGATGCAGGAGGGCCCAGCCCACCATGGGCAGCACCATTCCTTGGCATGTGATCCTGTGGCTATGTAAAAAAGCTATCTAAGCATGAGGCAGGGAGCAGCATTCATCTATGGTTTATACAACAGATTCCTGCTCTGATTTACCATGTAAAATAAACTAAGCCCTATCTTCCTTCAAGTTGCTCCTGGCCAGCAAAAGAAGGAAAACTAAAACAGTGGGAAAATCAAAGTGAACCAGGCTAGGAAGACATTTAGTCCTACCCTAACAGAATAAATCCTTTAAAGAGGAGAGACAGAGATAGAGAGAGAGAGAGAGATAGAGAAATGTTAGGTAGATAAGTAGGTTGGTAGGTAGGTATGTAGATAGATAGACAGAGGGACAGACAGACAGATAGAGATATCTGACCCTAAACCACTATGAGGTATAGCAAGATCTAATTTCTAGGAACAACTGTGGCCTGAACTCAAGTTCTCTGAGCCCATCCAACCCAGGTTCCTGCCATACCTCCTGGCCAATGAGGGGACCCAGACAGGGTAAAGAAATAGAGTGTGCCTCTGCTGCTTCATGCCGTCACAGGTAACTGTTTTTGAAGATCTTCAGCAGAAATGATGTTATCCCAAGTGTGCTGGCTCTCCATCACCCTTCTCCATAAAGACAAAAGTATCCAATTTCTACCGAGCCTGCATCAGCCTGCATGAGAACAGTCTTCTTATGAAGACAGTCTTTCAAAGCATCTATTGGTTCTTGTGAAATGCTAATTTTGTGACCCATGATGGCAGCTAGAAGGGGCCGGCCCCAGAGAGCATGAAGAAATTCTACCCAACACAGGGACCCTGCAGGACATGACCAGGTCAGATTATCTTCAAATCTGAGGTTTCAGAGGTACCTTCACCCTCTCTCCCCTGACCTAGGAGGGGTGTGAATGTTGCCTAGGTGAACTGCTTCGAAGATTGTCTTCATCGCCCATGCCACATTCAACCCTCAGTGAATCCCTGGGAAGGCTTTACCTCCATGATGGGACTGGATGCCAGAACCTTCTCTTCAATGTTGGTATCACTGGCTGAACCACCAACTGTGGCAAAATAGCGCATGGCATACTTGGCTGACACCGTCTTTCCTGCTCCAGACTCTCCGCTCACTATGATGGATTGGTTCTTTTCATCTCTGGAAGGGAAAGAGCTCTGATCAGTCACTGGCCATCGCAAGGCACTGCTAACTGCCAGGGACTCTGATGGGGGCAGACCTGGTAAGAGGCATCTCTTGGGGAAGCAAGCGGAGTGGGTAACTTTAAAGTCTGCCCTCCCTCGTAGGCCTACACACGCTCTGAAAACGGGAGGGAGAGAGCAGATCTGAGCAGGGCTCTTAAACAGCACAGGCCATCCATCACTGATGGGAAGAATGGTTTGGCTAATGGACTACCCTTCAAATAGGGATGCAGTGCCTATTGTCCTAAAAATTTACATATGCGCCCTTCCATCTTTGTTCCTCCAACAGGCCTCCTCCTCTGTGCCACTGAGTTCCCTAGAATTTTTTGTTTTATGAACAAGGATCTCTTGTAGTAAGTCTAGCTAGCATGCTGGAGGTAGAGACTTGAACATTTCTGTTCATACGTATAACACAAAGGGCATGCCACGAGCCTGATCTCATTCCAAGTCAAAGGACTGCAACAAAAGGGATTAGGGACTAAATTCAAGTCAGGAAAAGAGGGTACCTCATATCAGGTAAGATAACTATGGTTATTCTTCCAAAATACAAGGTAGGAAGACAGATAAGAAATGGAAGGTACGTGCCTTTATGTCCCCAAGGAACACAGGTATTCAAAGCAGAGAGGAATGCCAAACATTTGGGACACAGTTTAGGATAAGAAATTGCTTATGGTAGTGAACTCAACCATCCTCCCTTTAGTTCACAAAGCCACGGGGAAGGCTGGCATTCTGTTTCAGCCCTGGCAACAGTGGCTGGTACCACATATTACTCAATACCAACCGGCGAACCAAAAGCAACTTAGTGCTCAATAGCTCTAACCCCTCCTTTCCTAAACAAAGGCATGCTTAAAATTCAGGACTTTTTAAAATCATAGGACCCAGTGCCAGGTCCTATGGTTTCCTAGACAGAGCGGGTAAGAATAAATGAGAAGCCTCCATGCTGGCCTACCCTGCCCTCCTAGCTATCTCCAGGTCAGGGTCAAAGCAGAGAAACTGGACAAGGTGTGATGATGTAAAGAGAGCTGTGCAACATGAGAGGGACTGGAAGATGTGCGTGCTTAGAAAGGTCATGAGAAAGACCTTAGCAGGGAGGGGGCTAGGGAAATTGGATCAACAAGTCAGTCCCATTAGCATAGGGCATTGAGGTCTCAGCTCACAATCATGGATGCTCAAAAAGGGAGCCAAGGGCTCAGGATGGAAAGCAGATGCAGAGGTAAACTTGAACACACGTATCTTTAAACTGGTTACCCAACCAAATATAAAAACTTTCTAGTACTTGGGGAATAAAATGTCCCATGTTTCTGAGATTTCTCCTCTCATTCTAAGCCATTATGCTCTCTTCAGGGCCCACTCTTCCTTCCTTGCCCCCATAACAACATTAAACAGGCCCACAAATGTGGCTATTTCCCATTTTCATCCGTCCATTTATTTATTTTTATGAGTGTTTGCCTGCTTTTATCTTACATATGCCATGCGTGTGCCCAGTGCCCATGTGTCCAGAAAAGAGCCCCCTGGGACTGCAGTTATAGAGGGCTGTGAGTCGTCATGTGGGTCCTGGGAACTGAGCCCAGGTCTTCTGCAAGTGTTCTTAAATGCCGAGCCACCTCTCCAGCCTCCATCTTCATCCATTTTTCTTTCTTTCTTTTTTTTTTTTTTTTTGTCTCGTTTTTGCTTTACATTATATCTCCTGGACCTCATACACGATGTCAGGTGTCACCTCAGCTCTCAATGCTTTTATCATCAAGTCCTTCGAGAACTGACAGGAAGCACAAGCATCCAGATGGTTGGGGGCACAGACTGGCTTTACACCTTGGCAACAGTCACTTCTGTATCCCTTGGGCCATCTCCTTTCTCTGGCATCACCCTGAGGGCTCCCTGTGTATAACAAGAACCAGACTGGGTAGCCACACCCAAGACTTTGGAGCTCTGCTCAGCTTTTATCCCACAATAAGAGAATGTACTGAGCCTTGGTCCCCAGCAGAGAGACATGTGGAATGGAGAAGTACATACTGTTCCGTTTAACAGGGTTCCAGGGGAGCAACACATAGCATGAAATAACTCAGCTGTGGGGAGGAAGGGAATGACACATGCGTGCTCTGGGGCACAGTATACACAGGAAATTGGAGCATAAGGGGATCTGGGTAAAACATCTTTCTTGGCAAAGACAAATAAAGTACAAAGCAGAGATCCTTATCACTTGTCACTTTCAGTGTCAAGGTGCCAATTACTTTGCACAACACTGGGAACAACAAGTGCTGCTCAGGGAAGGGAATGATTCATACAAGAGGTAAGATGCCTTAGGAGCCAAGTAGGCCTAGTCCAAAGATAAGTGGCCAAGAAAAACAAACGAGCTAGCCTATGTGACAAGTGTCGAGAATTAAAAAAATAAAACAAAAAAGAATCAAAGGAGTGAAATAGCCAAAATCCAGCAGGGTGAGGAGGCAAACACTGAGCCAGGGTTTCATCAAAGTCACAGCTATCGATCCTTGAGCTTAACCATCTTCGCCTTGTTCTGGCGACAGGGCTGTCAGTAGTGTGCTTGCTGCACAAGCGTGAGGACCGGAGTTCGGATCTCCAGTATGCACATAAAAGGCTGGATGCGGTGTGTGGACCTATAATCCCAGCATAGGGGAAGAAGGGACAAGAGTATCTCTGGGGCTTGCTGGCCAGCCATTCTAGCCAGTGGGTGAGCTTCAAAGTTAGTGAGAGATCCTGTCTCAAAGACTAAATAGTTGGGCACGCAATACACACACGTGCACGCGCGCACACACACACACACACACACACACACACACACACACATTTTTGTATCTGAGTCTTTTTAGGGGACAATTACTGGAAGTGACTATATGCTCCCACTTAATCTGGTGACTACCAGGGCAGGTACTGCCATGTAAGCTCAAGTCCGATAAACTCACTTCTCAGACTCCCATGTCCCTCTGAATAGGCCTGTGAGGTATGCACACTCCTGCGTACCTGTGCATAATGCCACAACAACAATTCTTCCTACGGTAGCCTTCCACCCAGCTCAGAACTGGAATCCAGGACACAGACATCCAAACACTGAATATGAGCCTCAGTTTATTGCTGACTGGCTATCTGACCAATTGCACGTAACTTACCCAGTCACTTCAGCGTCTCTCGGGACTGGGATCCCTGAGCCATACCCTGTTCTGAGTGGGCCACCTTGATTTGGTACTGGAGTCTCTAATTTACCCTTACACCCTTGCCAGGCTACATTTCTAAATCGATGCTTTAGTTACATTTTTACCTTTTCAAAAAGTTTAAAAGCTACTCATCAAATCAAGTCCAGGCTCCTCAGCAGAGCATGAGAACCATGCGACAATATGCAACACTAAAGCCGTGAATGAACCTGTACAGTCTAAGAGCGTGCTGAGCCCCTGATGGGCCCTGTAAGCCACTCGGTCATGTCACAGAGGAAATCCAGCGCACTGCATATCCGCTGGAAGATCATAGGATAGTCGGCAAGAATGGTCACTCACAGTCTCTGTGGAGCATATACCTTCCCCAGGACTGCATTCGGGGTACCACCTCTGCCTTCAACTTCAACGCGACCTCCTGGAATCATCCTGACTGCCTACCCTGGGCAGCCCAAAAGATATTATTTCTCAGCTCCTGAAGTCTAGGGCCATTGGTTTCGCTCGACTTTTAATACGGTGTCCTCGCTGCCTGACTTTTGCTCGCCTCCTTTCTCTGGCATTCTGTCTTCTCACCTCTAGCTAGAAAGCTGCAACACCGGCTTCCATGTAAGCTTCTCTCTTTTTGACGTTCACTAATTCTACAACTAATATATTAATAGGGGCTGTGCGTAAAGAAAAGATTAGTTCCCAATTTTTGGTCATTTGGGGGATGGGCACGGGGATATTTGTATAAACATAGAATTCTATACAACATCCTTCAAAAATATACCAATGTTGGCTCCAGCCATTCAGCCCACTTAGAGAGATGATTTAGATGGTGACTTGAGTCCGTCTGCTTTTTTTTTAATTTTTATTTTGTATTAATTACTGTTTATTCAGATTGTATCCCCCCTGTAGTTACTTCCCTCTTCCCCTCCTAATTCCTCCATCCCTCCCCCTTTCTCCACCCATGCCCCTCCCCTAGTCCACTGATAAGGGAGGTCTTCCTCCCCTTCCTCTTGATCATAGTCGATCAGGTCTTATCAGGAGTGGCTGCATTGTCTTTCTCTGTGGCCTGATAAGGCTGCTCCCTGCTCAGGGGGAGGTGATCAAAGAGCAGGCCATTGCAAAGAAATCTAGTGTCCAGCTCTTATCTAAAGCCCAAGCTACATCCAGGGTGGCATTCACTACTGCAGACAAGAATGCCCTGAAAGGTCTGTGCCTCACACAAGGACAGAGGATCCTCAGACATGCAATTCAGCTATTCTGCAGCTTCTGGCAGAATGCCTGGCACCAGCATATACACCCACCTCTAGTCACAACTCATCCCAGGCCGCCTCCTTGGACACCTGAGAGGAAACACTTGCTTTCAACACCCTCTAATTTTTCTTCTGCATTCCCCATAGTAGCACTTTAAGCTGAACTGAGTGACCTCCTCTGCCCACCACCCAGGAGGTGCAGAAGATGGCGCATGGGTTGTTGAGACATGTTTATCCAAAGGCCAGCCAAGGAACAGCTGGAGTTTGTTTCCAATCCCCTGCTGAAGGGTTGTTTGGTTCTTACAGAGTAATTTGCCACCCAGGGTCTCCTGGTCAGAAAGAGACCCTGTTCAAGGTATCTCTGAGTTCAGAGACCTGCTCTGGAGGTCAGACTCACAAGCAACCAACCTGGCTGTGACGTGTGCCAGGTATCCCACTTACCTGCCACCTTTGGCATCTCCGACCCTCCCCCGCAATGCTCTGCCAGCCACATCAGTTGGCATGCATGACGCTGATCTAAGAGTTCCTGGTACTAGCCTTAAACAGTCAGTGCCCCTGAT